GTAATTAGAACATGCAGTTTCCAATCATCCATTTATTGCAGCCCAGACAATGGCAGTAAATCCCTCATAGATAGCAAGCACTGATATATGTTTTACATGAATTTCCAGAACAGTCCATTTGGCCCCCATCTTCCCATCTCTCTGGCCTGTCTATACATGTGACCTCCTGCGCCGGGCTGGGAATACACAAGGCTTCTTCCATTTTGCTGCCTTCCCGATCAGGCGACACATTGTGCTGGCTCAAACAGCTTTCATTCTTGGGATCTCGTAGAGTCTGGATTGACCTTGGGCTCCCTCACAGATGGGCACCCAAAGCCACGCTACTGAAAATTAAACAAAAATAAAGCCAAAACAAAAATGTTTGTTCTTGAGACGACTTTTTTCAATATTTGCCTGTTTTGACTACCAAAACATGATGGACCTAGTATCGGCCATTTTTCTCCATGTGTATAATAAACGAACATTCACTACATTCAGATTATAACGCACGGCTTACTGCGGCTGTAAATATTGCTGGATACACGTCTGTACAAAATGCATTTTTGGCCATATTTCTGTTATTAAAAAATGGCAGAGATTGCAGGTTAGAGGTGATTTCTACTTTTTATTTTTACTTATTTTTTTTTGCAGTCATGTACTGGGCGTAGTGCCAATGGGTATGATGCTCTGTATCAGTAAATACATTTTATCTTCTGAGTCTATATATATATAAATCACTTTATACACTGTAACTGGTCCTAACCAGACATGATTTATTTTAGGGTTGCGCAAGCAGGGGCACAGTGTGATTTCACCCGATATTTATTTCTGTTTGTGCACTTAGATAAGTCTCTCTGAAAAAGATGAAAGTATTTTATTTACACATGTGAATTAATAAACAGTCACACCCATCGCTTATAATTGTGAGTTTTATCAGAGCTGCAGGAAAAATCAAAACTAACACAAGTTTCAAAAGGGAATTGCAAAATTTAGGCCAACATAGCAGAATCTGGACATTTTTCCAATTAAAATACTTTCCCAATTCAGCTCATTGCACCTAAATTTTATATTTCTTAGACAATTCATTTAGTGAATGGACTCGATTTGCTAAAGCGCCCCAAGTGTTGCATTGACAACCCGGGGACGACATTTACCAGAAAATTCACTAAACATGACCACAATGGCAATTCTCAGATTTATTAACGGGAATCATGATTAAAATTTGTCCAGTCCAACCAAATCTGCAAAGCAAAAATCACCTGGATGCATTCAGAGTTAAAATCGGAGTTATTTGCATGCGAACTGTACACAGTATAGGATTAGGAAATTTATAACACAACAATTTAAAAATCAATTTGGGACCAAATACAATAAAAAGTACTATTTTAAAATAGTTAATAAACTGTCTGACGTGCGAGAGTTAACCATGTAGCCAGGCACCATATTAAAATGTAACAAGAATTAGCCTATGGGGATCAGGATGGCTAATGGCAATATTCCCAGGCAAGTCTCAGAGAAGCGAGACTTGTCTGCCAAAGTGCTCTGATTGGTTGGCTTACAAGCCAACCAATCAGAGAGATCTTATGAGAATTCAAATTCTCTTTAAAGAGGTCTTTCACGCCTTGAAGCTCATTCCGAGCAGAGCCCTTGAGGATCTCACTTGGATCAATGTTTGTTGTTATTTTGCCATTGTATTTTTACGAATCATGTCTTTATTTTAATTTTAATAGTAATGTCGGGATGCAATGGGGATTTTTGGCTCACACTTGCTGACCATGGGTGGAGGCAAGAGGGACATTTGGATGTCTATCCTTTTTTTTTTTTTACTTTTTACTGTGGCCAAGGGTAGGAGCACAGGGATAGACAGGGATCTTTTTTTCTTTTCTTTTTTTTAAACCAGTAAGAGTTTTAAAATAACATGTGAAAATATTAGAAACGTGATTTAATACTGACACCGTGCATTGAAAGCATTAAAAGCACATTTCTAATTTACTTCTCTGAAAGTGGATCAGATAACACATGATTCGTTTATGACATCATATCCGAAAGGAAGACAGGACCCATCATGCTAATCATGTACCAATCCTGTACATTTCCTAGAAGTGGAACTTTGTGGTTGAAAAGTAATTAATGCTAATGCTATAAAATGCTGTTAACATGCATTATATATTGTAGATTGAATAATGTAAAAAATATAAACTGTGGTCATTATTTTATTTATAAAATAAAATCACAGATCTTAATTTAAATCTGAATTTCTGTACTTTATATAATCAGAAAAATAATGTGTGTATGTTTTTACCAAATTGCCCCAAAGCAAATGAGCACATTTGGATCTTGTTTATAAAGGAGTCCATAAATACCTATTAAAAATATACTCTATGTACCATAACCACTTTAGCACTCTTCATGGCATATCACATCATAAGTGGCACCATAAGTAATGACTATACCATGGAGATCCAAATTTATGTATACTGTATCTTGTTGTGTGTATGTATATGGGTGTATATATACATATGTGTATATGTTTGTGTGTATATATGCTTGTTGTATGTATGTGCATATGTGTATGTATATGTTTGTGTGTGTATATATATATATGTGTGTGTGTGAGTATGTTTGTTGTGTGTATGTGTATATATGTGGGTATAAGTGTATGAATATGTTTTTGTGTATATATGTGCATGATTGTGGGTATATGTATGTTTGTGTGTATATTTTTGTGTATATATTTGTGTGCATATGTGTATGTATGTTTGTGTATATATGTGTGTGTATATGTTTGTGTGTATATGTATGTGTGTATATGTGTATGTATGTTTGTGTGTATATGTGTTTGTATATGTGTGTGTGTATATGTTTGTGTGTATATGTGTGTGGATGTATATGCTTGTGTTTGTCAGGTGTTTTTCATTATTAGAGGAGGTGTCAGCATTGAATGAAAACCAGCAGCAAACACAAAGAAACATGTTTTACTTTAGAAACAAGGAGCCATTACCGCCTCTATGTGGGGTGTGTGTGATACATGCTAAATAATCCAATAGACTGAGATTGGGGAGCTGGAACTCCTATCCCAGAGGCTCCCCTGACACCCCACACCTGCTCCTTGCACAAAGGGACCCCTCTACCTACACTGGGGGACCCCCCAAACCAAGGCAAGTGGAGAAAGAGAGGGAGGTTGAAATAGAGACAGAGGGAGTGTGACTGTGTTACAGAGACAAGGGGAGAGAGTGCAATAGAGACAGAGGAGAGAGAGTGTGTTAGAGAGACAGAGGAGAGAGGGTGTAAGAGAGACAGAGGAGAGAGAGCGTGTTAGAGAGACAGAGGAGAGAGGGTGTAAGAGAGACAGAGGAGAGAGTGTGTAAGAGAGACAGAGGAGAGAGGGTGTAAGAGAGACAGATGGGAGAGGGTGTAAGAGAGACAGAGGAGAGAGGGTGTAAGAGAGACAGAGAGAGTAAGAGGGAGAGACAGGGCGAGCTGAAAGAAAGAGGGACTAAGATAGAAAGTGCTTGTAAAGAGAGAGATAACTTTGTGTGAGAGAGAGAGCGTTATCTGTGGTAGAGACAAACAGAGAGGGAGTGAGAAAAAGAAAGTGCTGGTAGAAAGAGAGAGCTAGTTGTGTTAGAGAGAGCTCTTATAGAGACAGACCGAACTGAGATCTCCCCCAGTGTGTGTGAGAGAGAGAGCAGTCTGACAGAGAGAGCAGTCTGATAGACAGAGAGACAGAGAGAGCAGTCTGATAGACAGTGAGAGCAGTGTGACAGAGAGAGAGACAGAGAGAGCAGTCTGATAGATAGACAGTGTGAGAGAGCAGTCTGATAGAGAGAGACAGAGAGAGGGAGCAGTCTGATAGACAATGAGAGCAGTGTGACAGAGAGAGAGGGAACAGTCTGATAGACAGAGACAGTGAGAGCAGTGTGACAGAGAGAGGGAGCTGTCTGATAGACATTGAGAGAGGGAGCAGTCTGATAGACAGTGAGACATAGACAGTGAGAGCAGTGTGACAGAGAGAGACAGTGATAACAGTGTGACAGAGAGACAGAGGGAGCAGTCTGATAGACAGAGACAGTGAGAGCAGTGTGACAGAGAGAGAGACAGTGAGAGCAGTGTGACAGACAGAGAGAGAGGGAGCAGTCTGATAGACAGAGACAGTGAGAGCAGTGTGACAGAGAGAGAGAGGGAGCAGTCTGATAGACAGTGAGTGTGAGAGCAGTCTGATAGACAGTGAGAGAGGGAGCAGTCTGATAGACAGTGAGACAGAGACATTGAGAGCAGTGTGACAGAGAGAGAGAGCAGTCTGATAGACAGTGAGACAGAGACAGTGAGAGCAGTGTGACAGAGAGAGAGCAGTCTGATAGAGAGACAGTGAGAGCAGTGTGACAGAGAGAGAGCAGTCTGATAGAGAGACAGTGAGAGCAGTGTGACAGAGAGAGAGCAGTCTGATAGAGAGACAGTGAGAGCAGTGTGACAGAGAGAGAGCAGTCTGATGGAGAGACAGTGAGAGCAGTGTGACAGAGAGAGAGCAGTCTGATAGAGAGACAGTGAGAGCAGTGTGACAGAGAGAGAGAGCAGTCTGATAGAGAGACAGTGAGAGCAGTGTGACAGAGAGAGAGCAGTCTGATAGAGAGACAGTGAGAGCAGTGTGACAGAGAGAGAGCAGTCTGATGGAGAGACAGTGAGAGCAGTGTGACAGAGAGAGAGAGCAGTCTGATAGAGAGACAGTGAGAGCAGTGCGACAGAGAGAGAGAGAGCAGTCTGATAGAGAGACTGTGAGAGCAGTGTGACAGAGAGAGAGCAGTCTGATAGAGAGACAGTGAGAGCAGTGTGACAGAGAGAGAGCAGTCTGATAGAGAGACAGTGAGAGAGCAGTCTGATAGAGAGACAGTGAAAGAGAGGGAGCAGTCTGATAGAGAGACAGAGAGAGAGAGCAGTCTGATAGAGAGACAGTGAGAGAGAGGGAGCAGTCCGATAGAGAGACAGTGAGAGAGAGAGCAGTCTGATAGAGAGACAGTGAGAGAGGGAGCAGTCTGATAGAGAGACAGTGAGAGAGAGCAGTCTGATAGAGAGACAGAGAGCAGTCTGATAGAGAGACAGTGAGAGAGGGAGCAGCCTGATAGAGAGACAGTGAGAGTGGAGCAGTCTGATAGAGAGACAGTGAGAGAGGAGCAGTCTGATAGAGAGACAGAGAGAGAGAGGAGCAGTCTGACAGAGAGACATGAGAGAGAGCAGTCTGATAGAGAGACAGTGAGAGAGGGTGCAGCCCGATGGAGAGGACAGTGAGAGAGGGAGCAGCCTGATAGGAGAGTAATGCAGGAGAGAGAGGAGCCAGAGTCCTGATAGAGAGATGCGGAGAGAGAGCAGTCTGATAGAGAGACAGTGAGAGAGGGAGAAGTCTGATAGGAGAGACAGTAGAGTATAGTCTGATAGAGAGACAAAGAGAGAGAGAGAGCAGTCTGATAGAGAGACAGTGAGAGAGAGAGCAGTCTGATAGAGAGACAGTGAGAGAGGGAGCAGTCTGATAGAGAGACAGAGAGAGAGGGAGCAGTCTGATAGAGAGACAGTGAGAGAGAGCAGTCTGATAGAGAGACAGTGAGAGAGGGAGCAGTCTGATAGAGAGACAGTGAGAGAGGGAGCAGTCTGATAGAGAGACAGTGAGAGAGAGGGAGCAGTCTGATAGAGAGACAGTGAGAGAGAGCAGTCTGATAGAGAGACAGTGAGAGAGAGCAGTCTGATAGAGAGACAGAGAGAGAGAGAGGGAGCAGTCTGATAGAGAGACAGTGAGAGAGGGAGCAGTCTGATAGAGAGACAGTGAGAGAGGGAGCCTGGCCCCTGCCTGCCGGAGGAGGAGCTCTGTTCCCGGAGTGTGGGGCTGTCTCTCTCTCGGGCTGAGATGCTGCTCACACAGGGAGAGCCGGTCTGTGTGCTGGGGGCGATCTGACAGCCAGGACTCGCTACCTGCCTACCGCTACCTACCGTCACCTACCGCTACCTGCCTACTGCTACCTACCGTCACCTACCGCTACCTACCCCCGGGACTCACCGCCTGCCCGCTGCTGGGATGCCGCTAGGGATGCTCCCTGTCCGCCCGGACCTGGTGCTGCTCTCCGGGATCCTGCTCAGCTCAGGTAGGTCAGACCCACTTACCGCCAGTCAGGGTCTGGGTGGGCACCGGGGGGGCAGGTGGGGGCCGGGCTGGTTAACAGGTTTCTATTGATGGATTGGAATTAACTCTGTGTTTGCTGGGCTGCCCGGGCAGGGCTGGGAAGTTTAACAATCCACTGATATCTGGGGGCAGTCAGGGGTTTATTGGGGGCTTCACTAACCTGGAGAATAAACTTCCAGCTTGTGTGATCCAGGTCTCCCCGAGCATCCTGTGTCTGTGCAGAATGTGTGGAATTCAACGAGCAACTTTGTATCACGTCACATTCCAGGGGACAGACACTGGGGGGCCTGGGATGGGGGGATCCCTGGACTATTCACCTGGACGGATTAATGCTTCTTTTTGGGCTGGTGGATTGCTCTCTGCCTGCCTGGCATTGTGAATTATCTGTCTGTGGAAATAGGAGAAAACCTACAGGGGTAAGGCATGCTGTAATGGGGAGCTGAACTTTGGGGATTAGATGGTTTCCCATGCCTGTCTCCCTCCTTCCCACCTCCCAGGGCAGAATAAAACATGGATCTGATGGGCTATTATACCAAGGACTGTGCAAATCAAGTGCCCAGATTTATGGAAGAATTGCTGGTGGGAGGGGGTTTAGGGGGGCACAGCTGGCACCAAGACTTATTAACCACTTCCTGGCTGTGCCATCCTTAGAAATGATAATAATAATTATCGCCTGTAATACTGATGAGTTATTTGTCATTTTTACCGCGCAGGGTGACTGTGACTTTGTGATCGGGAAATAATGGCCCTGGGAGGGGGTTAAAAGGATCAATCAATGGCAAGTGCAAGGGGTTACTAAGAAAGTTCTCCTGGGACACAGACAATGGCTTATTGAGACACTGGGAAGGATTTCTGACTGACCTCTGACATTCATATTGTGTTTCACAGTCACCAGAGGGGAATATTGTATTGTACCTATTCATTTACTGCTGTGGATAGCTCCCCTGGCCCCCCTTAGAATTACTGCTATCTGTGGTATAATGTGCCGGGTACCCTCTGATACAGTATACAGTGAGGGTGATGTGTTGGGGTACCCTCTGAAACAGTATACAGTGGGAGTGATGTGTTGGGGTACCCTCTGATACACTATACAGTGTGGGTGATGTGTTGGGGTACCTTCTGATACAGTATACATTGAGGGTGATGTGTTGGGGTACCCTCTGATACAGTATACAGTAAGGATGATGTGTTGGGGTCCCCTCTGATACAGTAAGGGTGATGTGTTGGGGTACCCTCTGTTACAGTATACAGTGAGGGTGATGTGTTGGGGTACCCTCTGATACAGTATTCAGTGAGGGTGATGTGTTGGGGTACCCTCTGATACAGTATACAGTGAGGGTGATGTGTTGGGGCACCCTCTGATACAGTATACAGTGAGGGTGATGTGTTGGGGTACCCTCTGATACAGTATACAGTGAGGGTGATGTGTTGGGGCACCCTCTGATACAGTATACAGTGAGGGTGATGTGTTGGGGTACCCTCTGATACAGTATACAGTGAGGGTGATACAGATATGTTGGGGTACCCTCTGATACAGTATACAGTGAGGGTGATACATATATGTTGGGGTACCCTCTGATACAGTATGTAGTGTGGGTGATACAGTATACAGTGAGGGTGATACAGATATGTTGGGGTACCCTCTGAAACAGTATACAGTGAGGGTGATACATATATGTTGGGGTACCCTCTGATGCAGTATACAGTGAGGGTGATACAGATATGTTGGGGTACCCTCTGATACAATATACAGTGAGGGTGATACAGATATGTTGGAGTACCCTCTGATGCAGTATACAGTGTGGGTGATACAGTATACAGTGAGGGTGATACAGTATACAGTGTGGGTGATACAGTATACAGTGAAGGTGATACAGATATGTTGGGGTACCCTCTGATACAGTATACAGTGAGGGTGATACAGATATGTTGGGGTACCCTCTGATGCAGTATACAGTGTGGGTGATACAGTATACAGTGAGGGTGATACAGACATGTTGGGGTACCCTCTGATACAATATGTAGTGTGGGTGATACAGTATACAGTGAGGGTGATACAGATATGTTGGGGTACCCTCTGATACAGTATGTAGTTTGGGTGATACAGCATACAGTGAGGGTGATACAGACATGTTGGGGTACCCTCTGATACAATATGTAGTGTGGGTGCTACAGTATACAGTGAGGTTGATACAGATATGTTGGGGTACCCTCTGATACAGTATTCAGTGCGGGTGATACAGATATGTTGGGGTACCCTCTGATACAGTATTCAGTGCGGGTGATACAGATATGTTGGGGTGCCCTCTGACAGAGTATTCAGTGCGGGTGATGTGCTGTGAGTACAAGGCTGCAGTACCCAATGGACAGTGCCAGGGCTGGCTTCTATTCATTGTGTGAGAGTATTTGCTACGCTAATGGTTAAACTGGCAGCTTCAGCCTCTGCCAGCCCAGCCTGCTGGGGACATCACTGTTTGTCTGGACAGAGTGAGAATCATATCCGCTTCTGCATGCACGATTCCCACTGCAAGCTTGTCCGTCTCTTGCAAGAATGACGGTTTGTCATGCGGTGATCTCGCAGCTGGGCTAAAGATCTAGCTGGGTTCTCTCTTGTTATTTTCTCATTCTGTGCAACAAACCTCATCTGGTCACTTTCAGAGCCTGGAGCTCAATTTAACCCACTTGATGCTACTGGAGCAAATTCCTAAAAAAAATTTTTTAAATCACCTACGTACGCTATTCCTACTCGTATCAGTCTCAGCCATGGTTGACTGATCTTGATGGGAGTTACAGCACTGTAGGGCCGTCAGACTAATAGTATTTTGGCCTATTCCAGGTACATCCTAGTGGCTTTGATCATTGCTTCCCAAATAAATCCTTATCCACTCATATTTGTCTGTGTAACCCTTTACCTCCCATTAGGATTTAATTGGAAATCCTAAATTCTGAACAGTGGAGGGGTGCACGGCGCCTCATTTAAGATCAAATGGGTTTGATAATAACATTTATGGTTGGTGGAATGTTGTGATCTTCCCAACAGGAGATCTGCCTAGTAGATTGTAAGCTCTTCAGCCTAATAAAAATCATGCACATGTTGTCTTTGGCACCATTGTAAAGTCTCATATAGAAATCCTTTTTAGCTACCTTTCAATGTCAAAGAAAGCAGCGGCTCCAGGGAGGAATGGGTTAACCTGTGTAAGGTATTTGTGTTGAGTTTGCCTCACACCTTCCCATTGGGGTCCCTGCGTTTCCAGTCAGGAGATCAGGGGGAGATCAGTGTTTGAAGGATGGCTTCATACCAACCTAATGAGATAAAAGTGTCAGATTTTTTATCTTCTGGCATTATTTTTCACATCAATAAAAAATAAACTGTTAGATTAAATCTGTCTTCTCACAGACTGTCAAGCACCAGGCAAAAATCAACTTTAGTTTGATGTTGACAGCGAGAGGTAGAACCATCTTTCCTCCTATTTACTAAACTGTCAGAACTTTTATATTGTGGATGGGTCATCTTTACTGTCTCACGCTGCTAACACCAACACATGAGAGGCTTATTCACTAAACAGTGGATTGTAGCAAAGACATAATGAATTGTACAATTTGGGCCAAGTAGCCAAGCTGTGACTACATCAGAGTTGGGGAATGTCCCCAAATCACTTATTGTTTCCCAGATTTTGCAGTTTGGATTTAATTCACTATATTTTGGTATTTAGTGAATAAGCCCCTTTAGCATTGGGTTGGATACTTTCAGACAGGTGACGTTCTGCCACACAGGTTATATTTACTGAATGCGTCCTGTAACTGTGATGGAGTCCTTGTTTGCGCAATGTGTTTCAGATTCTTATTGCCGTACAATGTGCCAATCCGACAGATGTGACCAAACTGATCTTATTGTATTTTTAAAATTCAGTTGCAAGCGATATATTAATAGGATGAAAAGTGCACAAACTGACTTTATCGTGATACAAACCTTTGCTATCTGTACAAAATAAAGACATCTCAGTGTGAGATTAAAACGTCACAATTATCTCACTTTTTTTTGACAAAAAAAAAATTGTCTGAGTGTCCAAAGCTGTATTGAGTGATAACATGTAGAATGAGAGAGTTCTATTTATAATATTCTCCGATATGTTTAATAACACGTTTACAGTGCCTGTTGCTGTGTCTACATGAAATCATGTCCTGGGTGCAGTACACAAACATTTGTTAGATGTTAGGACCACGCACTTTAACCATGGCTTCGTTGTTTAATGTGAATTTGATTTACAAAACATGCTCACTGGTACAGGTAAAGCTTTAATGTCACCTTGAAATTAATTTCCATCATATTTTGTAATTCGTCATATCTACCTGCATTAACAATGCTGAGCTATGCTTAAACAGATTTCTTTGTCATATAAGCTTGCACTCTAAGCTGCTGCTATAACGCTAGTTGCACAGAATAACGTTTCCTTATAATACCTACGGATGTTGTGGAATTCTGGTTGGAAACATGATTGGGGTTTTTAGGTTGCTGCCTTCCTCGATGCTCTGCTTTCCATTAGGCAGGTAACAGATTAAATACGTGCATTTTGGTTTATGGCAAATATTCA